ATTGTAATCCCGTACTCCCATTGTACTCCCGTACTCCCATTGTACTGCCTGGACTCCGGGAGTACATGGGAGTACAGGGAGTCCAACATAGGGGTGGGAGTTTAACTTTAACTTTAACGTTAAAGCCAAAGTTAAAGTAACATACTTTAACACTTTAACACTGTAACGTGAAAGCAAGGGAGAAATCAATACTCCCGTACTCCATGTACTCCGCTGTATTCCCGCAGTTCCATTGTACTCTGTGGACTCTGGGAGTACACCGAAGTACAAGGAGTCTGTGAGATACAATTCTTATGTAGGAGACCGTATCATAGGTACCTTTGTCAACCACCTTAAATATTCCTATTTCTCAAGGAGAAAACCATGTACTCCAGTACTCTCTATACTCCGCTGTACTCCCGTACTTCCGTTGTACTCCCTGGACTCCGGAAGTACAATGGGAGTACATGAGAGCCAAGCAAGGAGGAAAACATGTACTCCCGTGCTCCCATTGTACTTCCATACTCCCATTGTACTCTCTGGACTCTGGGAGTACACCGAAGTACAAGGAATCTGTGAGATACAACTCTTATGTAGGAGACCGTATCACAGGTACCTTTGTCAACCACTTTAAATATTCCTATTTCTTCTTGAATGGGATACTCATGTCCTCATGATCTATGCTTTGGGGGCACCCATAAGTCCCCATGGCCTATTCTATGGGGTACCCATAAGTTCTTATGACCTATCTTTTGGCGGTACCATAAGTCTTTATGGCCTATCCTATGAAGGTACTCATAATTCACCAAGGGCTATTGATGTTCGGTATTGTTAAATTTTCAAGCACTGTCTTGCGGTAGTTCCAGTTACTCTTCAAGCATCAATTCGTGGAGGGATATCGGATACCGCTACCTGTTAGAGAAGATATCTAGCGTTAATCGTCATAGATTTTCAAGAGTTTCTAGGTAGGAACGCAAACTGTGATAAGAACGCCACTCACACGCAAGGAGAAAACAGCAGACTCCCAGATTTCGTACTCCTAGGGATTCCTGGAAACTTCCAGGGACCTCTTGGGACTTCCGCGGACTCCTCAGCTTCCCAGGATTTCATGAGATTTCTTCGAATTTCGAGGGACTTTATGGGACTGTCTGGGATTTCCCGAGATTTCCTTGAATCTCCTTTGGGTCTTCTGGCTACTTTGGCATATTCCGAAGTAGTAGCACCTACATAAATCATACTGGTCTGACTGTTCAGATCAAAGGTTAAAGGTCAAAGCTTAAACACTAGTGAAAAGAAACTAATGTGTAAAGAGCTGCGTTCCTGTATTTTATGGGAGTCCTTGGAACTCTTTGAGATTTCTTGGGAGTCCTTGGAACTCCTAGGGACTTCCAGGGACTTGTGGAGTACGGAAGTCTGCTGTTTTCCCTTGCTTTTAGTACTCCCATAGGATAGCTCATGAGGACTTATGGGTACCTCCATAAGAGAGCCCATGTGGACTTATGAATACCCCTATAAGATACATCGTACTTCCGGGATTTCAAGGATTCCCATTGTACTCTCAGGGATCCAGAATCTTGGAAATCCTCTTTTTCCCCTTGCGTTCAACTATAAGAAAGACGAAAAAGAGGAATGCGACGTCTCGTCCACTAGATACCACCCTAGTTGCTTTGTCTACTAAACAACCTATTATTCAAGGAGAAAACGGCTGACTTCGGATCCATCAAAAGTGCCAAACACGTATTAAAAGCATCGGAGTTGGCTCACGAGAATCGCAACAAGACTCAGAATAACAAAATTATGTATGGAGTATGACTTGAAGTATCGGAGTATTTGTCAGAGTATTGGAGTACGCCCGAAGTATCTGAGTTTGGCGGAAATACCAAAGGATGAACTCATTTTGAGGTGTTTACAGTTAATTACTTCGTTGCTTCTTTTTGATCATTATGATTCTCAAACGTGAAATGAAGTGTGGTGAGAATTACAGCTATTGGCTACTGACTTGAGACTCCCATACTGCGATACTTCAATAATACTTCGATATTCCGGCTTGTATTTCAGTACTCCGATGATACTCCGACGATACTCCAGTACTCCAAGCTGAAATCCAACGCAAAGAGTAAAGTTGATAATTTGAATTATACTGCTGAGACACATGATGGAAGATGGTAGATTCTCACTGAAATATCCATTGCGAACAACACAAAGCATATTTTAGCTGCTGGAGTACGATGCGAAGTACGATCAGAAGTACCGGAGTACCAGCTAAAGTATCGGAGTATCTGAGATCCTGGAGTGCCGTTTCCCCCTTGCTATTATTCAAGGTCGTTTAAAAATTAAAACAAGGAAAAAACCAGTCTTGCAATACTTTCTCAAAAAATATTCGGAATAAACTATTACGTTCGTTGTACTCCCTGTACTCTGTGTACCCCGTGAGTACTCGCAGTACGGGGGTACGTGTTTTCCCCCTTGATTCGAGGTCGTTTATAAATCAACAAAAGAAAAAAAATCAATCATGCAATGCTTTTTCGAGATATATTTGGGGTCGATTTGTGGTACATTATTACGTTCGCTGCGTTTCCTTGTGCTCCTATGTACTCCCATGTATTTCATTGTACTCTAATGTATTCTCTTGTATTCCCATGTATTCCCCTGTACTCCTCTGTACTCTCTTGTACTCCCATGTACTCCTCTGTACTCCCTTGTACTCCCATGTACTCCCTTGTACTTTCTTGTACTCCCATGCATTCCCTTGTACTCCCATGTGCTCCTTTGTACTTTCTTGTACTCTCTTGTACTCCCTTGTACTCCCATGTACTCCCTTGTACTCGGAGTACGGGAGTACGTGTTTTCCCCCTTGATATTTTCTCATGTATTTTAGAAAATAGGAAGTGAGTTGACCTGTTACTTCTATACCTTAATAATTATGGTCTTGAATAATAAGCATTGATCTACATACAGCTACCATATGTTCCTAAATTACAATTAATCGTTGAGAAAGATAAATCATATACAGGGTGTCTCATAAGTTGTGGCAGATTTTTTTAAATCTAATTTTTGATGATAATGAATACAAATTAAACTCAAACTTATACATATGACACGGCTTAGCATGTACTTTTATTTCATATATTTTATTTGGATTAGATCATTGAATATACAAGAAAATAAACAAATTCAATGAACATACCCTCCATTGACAAATATCAAAAGTCTGCATTTTTTCGCTACTTTGTTAGTTTTTTCTCCAATTACTATTCCTATGGGAGTAAGTTTTTACAAAAGAAATCACACATTCTGATAGCACTTGAAATGCTCTATGATATTATGTATTAATACAGTGTCTTAAATTTAAGTAGCGAAAAAAAATGCAAATTTTTTGGGCTAGTCGATTCGGAGTATATTCATTGTATTCAATTTTATTTCAATCTATAAACGCAAGAAAATAAGTAAATAGACAGGGTGATAGAGAATTTTAAGCTCTATCAGAATCTATAGTTACTTTTTCATACAGATCATTCTATACGGATGAAAAATTTTTAAAACTAGTTTTGATGACGAAGGAAAGATCAAGTCTGGAAATCTGGACATGAGGGTGCCTTCGTTGTCTTCAATTTATTTTGGTAATGAAAAGGTCAAAACTAAAACCTAATTCTACAGAATGATAGAAAACTCCGCGAGCTTTCAGAATATGTAATTAGTTTTAAAATAACTTATTTTTATAGTGACAATATATGAGAAATACAGAGTGAAACTTTTGTCGGGGTATATATATTGTAACACATTGATGGTGTGCTTATTTTGCACATGTACCAATTTCTTTATTTTTTTGTATATCCAATGATTAAATTCAAATAAAATATATGAAATAAAAGTACATGTTAAGTTGTATGATACGTGTAAGTTTGAGTTTGATTTGTATTCATTATCATCAAAAATTAGATTTAAAAAAATCTGCCACAACTTATGAGACACCCTGTATTTCAAAATGAACATTTTGACGGAAGTTAGACAGATTTCTGGACTTCAATCATCATATCGCACGAGGAAGAGTTAAATGGATTCAAATCATGAAAGTTTTTTCAAAAACAGATCATTTTCTATTGTTTGGAACAGTGAAAAACGCGAAATCTTTATCTATGGGATCAATGCAAATTCTCAAAATTCTAAATCAATTCATATCATAGCAATAGCTAATTCATTCTTTAGTCATTGGGTAAAATCTTTTAGTTGAATAGACAGAAATCCTAGTTGACAATTTCCATCAGGAACAAAAAAATATTTGTTATTGATCTGTTATTTATAACAAAAACTATAAATTCACACTCATAATCATAATTGTTAGTGTACGATCGTCGATATGATCATTGTAATGTTTGAACTAGGTTAGTGATGAAAGTGAATTGTTGACGATCAACTATCAATAAAAAGAGATGATACATTGATTATTAAATTTTCAAATATGATATATAGAAAAAGACAATTAAAGTTTGAAATCTTGTTAATATAATAGTTATAGGTATCAATATATGAGTTCCATACTTATCACTCAGATCTTGACTCTCAAATGATATGATAAATGTTGATATTCAACTTTATGTCAAAATCTAAAAATACTCAAAACAAACATCAGAATTCGCGAAAGATTACTTTTAGTCCATCAAATACGAAAACCAAATTAAACAGTGTAGACTTTCCTGACACTTACACAGTCTTTCTACCGTCTCTTTTAAGACTGAATTAAGTGAGACTCTTCAAACCAACATATTACTTATATATTATAAAAAGTATTTAATTTAATACGATGAGAAACATTGGGACAAAAGAAGAATGATTTCTCAAATAACCTGACGAACGACTTGTCAATGAATAAAAGAGAATGTTCGACAGCAAGCAAAATGTTATAATCTATCAATGATAACCTATTGTCATAAGATGAATATTTATTCTTCATTATTCTCTTCGATGCCAATGAGAAAATATGTATATATATAAACAAGACTATTGAAATGAATAAATAAAACATGAATATATCGAATAACGATAACCTCAATATACTCGATTTGCCCAATGAACTTTTACTGATTATTTTTAACAAACTGAATAAAGTCGATGTTCTATATTCACTTGTCGATATTACTCAACGGTTTGATCAATTAATACTTGATCCATTTTATATTCGTAATCTTAATATAACTTCTATGTCAATGAAATCATTTTATGATCGTATCTATTCAATAGACAATCAAGTTCTTGATAGAATTTGTAAAAATATTTTACCTCGAATTTATCGTCAAATAAATGAACTCATTGTTGAACAGTATTCAATGGAACGTGTTCTTCATACTATAAATTATCCTCAACTTTACTCATTAACACTGATGGATTTTTCAGAAGAAGTACTTTTCAATTACTTAACAAGTAAACTAATTTAACTTTTAATACGATAGTAAAATCATTAGAGACAAATTAAGATTTGTTTATTTTTTGTGAATTGAAGGTAATACAATTCTTCGCAAACTTCTTATTGAACAAATTACATGTCTTAAAATTGATGTTAAGGATGAGCCAACAGAACCATCTCCTGAAACTCTTTCCATTATGTTTGCTTTGATATTATCTTTATGTAAACGATTAATCAAAACAAGTTTTTGTCAATTGCATAATCGATCAACGTTCTGTACTTATGACTTATCATCAACAAATATCAAATCTTCAACATTAACTGAATTGAAAATTCAAGTGGAAACTTTTGATGATTGTCTTTATCTACTTGATGAACGTTTCAATTGTTTATCAACATTGATTATAAATGTAAAAATAATTTCATATACATCAGGGACGGTCGATAATAAAGTCAGTCTAATTCTCAGCTATTGTGTTTCGAGAAGAAAAAAACAGTGAATTTTATAATTAAAGATACGTTGTTCGACTTTTTCTTTATAGAAAAAGCTTCCCAAATTGAAACATTTCTCATTAACATCATATCCACACATATTTGTATATGATAATTTAATTATTTCATTACTTCAACGAATGATAAATCTTGAAGAATTGATATTATATTTGTCAATAATAAGAAGTAACAAGAATTATATTGATGGTAGTGAATTATATGATTCAATTCTTATTTATATGCCACGATTAAACAAATTTACATTCAATATACACACAAATGTAGATAAGAAGAATGTTGAAATTGCTGTTTCATCAAATGAAGATATTCAGCGCAGTTTTAGCAGAAAAGAATATGGACCAGTTGCTTCACATATTGAAACTTTCACAAGAGAAAATGAACGTAGATGTCATAGCTATCTGGCCTTGTAGTGGGACTATATTTCCTATAATTCCTATATTTTTAAAATTAGTCCTTTAATGGACTATATTTCAAGGTTTTTTCCTATATTCCTATATTTTTCGAAAAATTGAAGATTCCTCGCAAAAAAGTCGCATATTCTTTGATCTGAATGTCAAGAAAGCAGCAATAAGACGTTCAATGGAAGAAAATACAGAACATGTTTGTGTAAATGAAGTCTGTAAGCAATTATTGTAAGAAAAAGAAGAAATATTAATGAAACTAAAAGATTTTCAGCATGAACTTCATGAAGACGACTAGACAGTCACCAATAACAGTGAACGTTTACTAGAACCCGCAATCAAGAAATAGTCTTGATATAGCTAGAGCTAAAGATTAACTGATTATGATAATACTGAAAGTAAAACGATCTGAAACATATGTCGACAGTACAGAACAGTGGATTAAGATTAGAAGTGAACGAAAAAATGAATTGGGTCAAGAAGAACAGAAGCGACAAACAACTACAACTGATTCAGCGATTACTTATAATTAAAACAGATTTATACTTGTATATATTTCAAAATATACTTTTAGGTATGACAGATGTTTTAATAGTATTAAAAAGAGATATAGTTTATATTGTGTAAACCAAAAAATAAATTTTTTGTGGTCTCTATTGCATTTGGTTGCGTTTATAATCCTATAGGTCCGTATCTGTAGAATAGTTGAAAATAAATCAAACACAAATTATTGTTTTTCATTTCTGAAAGAAATACTTTATTATGATACTGTTTTTCACGAACCGGTGTCCGTTCAGCGAAAAACGTTTCAGCGAACACATTTTTCAGCGACTAACAGTACAGCGAAAATGAGCTATGGCGAAAAGGCAAATAGCGAAAATACAAAACAGCGGAAAAGCTAAGAGCGAATGTCAACAATAGCGAAACACAACATCGCGAAAGCACTTTCAGCGAAATATTTTTCCTTCAAGAGCTCAACTTATCTTTATATGATGATGGCTCATTATGGCCAGTGCGTCCAACACTAACGATCTTGGCCCATTCTTATCTATTCTGACCAAGTAACATGCTATTCGACTAATTTTTTTTTGTCGTACATCTTTCTCCCGTCCACGATGTTAGTTCGTGGGTGTGGGTGTGGGTGTGGGTGTGGATGTGGGTGTGGGTGTAGGTGTGGGTGTAGGTGTGGGTGTGGGTGTGGGTGTGGGTGTAGGTGTGGGTGTGGGGTGTGGGGTGTTGGTCCAGTTGAAGGGAGCAGTAACACCCGCACCCACACCCGCATCCACACCCGCCCCCACCCACACCCACACCCGCACCCACACCCGCACCCACCCACACCCACACCCACACCCGCACCCACACTCCACACCCATACCCATCCATATCTACACCCACACTCCACACCCATACCCATCCATATCTACACCCACACCCACCCACACCTACACCCCACACCCACCCATCTCAAGAAAAAAAAACGATAAGGATCCTCATCAAGACCAGCATCTGAAGAACTTTATTTTTGCAGAAATACAACATCAAATTACTAAAATCTGTTTTTTAAATTTTCAATGGTTCTTGTCACAAGTATCAAATGAGGATGAGTAGAAGGCAGTGACTTTTTCAAAATCTCAAGTAATCTTTCGTACGATGAAAGTGCTTTTGAATATTCGCCCATGTTATAATACACCGTAGCGATGTTGCAGTAGGAAGTAGCCAAGTCGAGATGATTCGGAGGGAGAGCTATTTTTTGGATTTCAAGTGATCTTTCGTACGATGAAAGTGCTTTTGAGTACTCGCCCATGTTATCATACACCATAGCGATGTTGTTGTAGGAAGCAGCCAACGTGAGATGATTCGGAGGGAGAGCTATTTTTCGGATTTCAAGTGATCTTTCGTACGATGAAAGTGCTTTTGAGTACTCGCCCATGTTATCATACACCATAGCGATGTTGTTGTAGGAAGCAGCCAAGGTGAGATGATTCGGAGGGAGAGCTATTTTTCGGATTTCAAGTGATCTTTTGTATAATGAAAGTGCTTTCGAGTACTCGTCCATGTTATAATACACTGAAGCGATGTTGTTATAGGAAGTAGCTAATAAGGGATGATTCGGTGGGAGAGCTATTTTGTAGATTTCAAGTGACCTTTCGTGCCATGAAAGTGCTTTCGAGTACTCGTCCATCTTATAATACACTGAAGCGATGTTGTTGTAGGAAGCAGCCACGTCGGGATGATTCGGAGGGAGAGCTATTTTTTTGATTTCAAGTGATCTTTCGTACGATGAAAGTGCTTTCGAGTACTCGCCCATGTGAGAATACACCAAACCGATGTTGTTGTAGGAAGTAGCCAAGTCGGAATGATTCGGAGGGAGAGCTATTTTTCGGATTTGAAGTGATCTTTCGTACGATGAAAGTGCTTTCAAGTACTCGCCCATGTGACAATACACCATAGCGATGTTGCTATAGGACGTAGCCAAGGAGGGATGATTCGGAGGGAGAGCTATTTTGTAGATTTGAAGTGATCTTTCGTAGGATGAAAGTGCTTTCGAGTACTCGCCCATGTGAGAATACACCAAACCGATGTTGTTGTAGGAAGTAGCCAAGTCGGGATGATCCGGAGGGAGAGCTATTTTGTCGATTTCAAGTGATCTTTCGTACGATGAAAGTGCTTTCGAGTAGTCGCCCATGTTATGATACACTGAAGCGATGTTGTTGTAGGAAGTAGCCAAGTCGGGATGATTGGGAGGGAGAGCTATTTTGCAGATTTCAAGTGATCTTTCGTAAGATGAAAGTGCTTTCGAGTACTCGCCCATCTTATCATACACTGAAGCGATGTTGTTGTAGGAAGTAGCCAATAAGGGATGATTCGGAGGGAAAGCTATTTTTCGGATTTCAAGTGATATTTTGTACGATGAAAGTGCGTTCGAGTACTCGCCCATGTTATAATACACTGAAGCGATGTTGTTGTGGGAAGTAGCGAATAAGGGATGATTCGGAGGGTGAGCTACTTTTTCGATTTCAAGTGATCTTTCGTACGATGAAAGTGCTTTCGAGTACTCGCCCATGTGAGAATACACATTACCGATGTTGTTGTAGGAAGTAGCCAAGTCGGGATGATTCGGAGGGA